TATGTTCATGACAGTTGGTAACACTATTTAACTGCGATATGTGTCGCTCCACCAGTGAGAACATAACGCATGACTGGCACAGAGAAGAAAACAGTGTAGTTTCAAATCATCTGACTCTGCAGTAACTCACCATGGCAACTAAATTTCTAAAAAGCCTCAGTCATCACAAAAATTGGCAAGTGATTTCCTACATTGCTCTGCAAGTCTTTCGCAGCACTCTGCTGTCTCTTTCTTCACACGTAATAAAATAAATTTAACTAAATTTTTAATCTTCAATTATTTATATGCTTGCTAGTCATATAATAAGCAATCAGTCTTTCATGATCAATAATAAAATAAATCAGTGTGGTTTATATTGCAGTAATGACTGGATGACTGTACATTGTCTGTTACTTACAGGGTTAGTTCATGCAAAAATTAAAATTAGTCCATAAATTACTCGCCCTCAAGTCATCCTAGGTGTATATGACTTTCTTCTTTCAGAGTCATTCCCCCGGAACTGCTTCCAGTGTACAACAGTGAGCGCAAGCTACATTAAAGTGATTATTGCGTTTTGAATATGGATATTTTACTTACAAAAACGCATCGATTCGCTACAGAAGGCCTTTGTTCACCCCCCGGAGCTGTGTGAGACACTTTTTTTTTTTTATGGATGGGCGCATTTTATTTAACTGCTTTTGTACTGAAGCAATGCAACACCCGCTGAGTGGCATGAAACAGCTTGAAAGATCAAAGACAATTTTTAATATAACTCCGACTGGATTCGTCTGAAAGAAGAAAGTCATATACACCTAGGATGACTTGAGGGTGAGTAATTTATGGGCTAATTTTCATTTTTGGGTGAACTAACCCTTTAACTCACAACCTTCCTTCCATTGATACTCATTTATTTTTAACAAAAATTTTATCAGATTCTGTGTCTTGATTTTTTATCTAGCTTACTCAAAAGATTCATAATTCAAATGCACAACAATCAAATAAGTCTGACACATTTATGATAATCATCAAAAAGTAAGTTTTTTTGGTAAAACATGCCAGCTATCTTAGATGCAAAGAAACAGAAACTATGTCATCAGATGCACTTTATCTGATTATGCGTAGACCGAATTCACAAAAACATTCGGTGCTTTATTATAAAAAGACTCATAATTTTTTAGATGGTGTTAGATATATTAGGAGAGACATTTCAGTTTTACACTTCAGTGGGCACGTGTAACCAATTACTTTTTTAACATGCATATGTTCGCATGAATTTGACAACCACAGATAATTATATATAGTATAAGTTGTGTAAACAACAACAACTCTTGGTGCTTTTTAAAAAAAAAATGTTTATACTTTTTAAGTAAATGTAAAACAGCTCACTGCAAAAAAAAAAAAATGATTAAAAGCTTTTAAGGTCAACTACCATTTTGACTGTATTGTCAGTAATATGTATACTGCACATTTTGATTAATTGCAAATGGCAATAAGGACTAATATATATATATATATATATATATATATATACATATATATACACAAGAAGTTCACTGCCTTTTAAATAAGATGAGTTAAATGAATCATCCGCCACCAAAGCGGTTTGGTGCAAGGTCACATCTCATCAATTTTCTCTCTCAGTTAGTGGAGAACTTAGCTCTCTGTCTCTTTCTCAGT